GTTAGTTTCCTGCTAAAGAACTGCATGATAGCTACCATGTGATCATTGGGAAAGCATCAGGAGAGGCCCCACGTGAGAGGATGATCACCACTGAGCCAGAAATCAGACTGGCTCTCTCATATTCAGAATATCATCTCAACATCAGTGCTGTGAACAATGCTAGCACATCCCCAGCTGTGAGCCAGACAATACCACAGCGAGAAGACACACCAAGTTAGTTGTCAACTAATTTTATTTTTATTTTGGAGATATGATCTATATAATTCCTTGTACAATAAAAGGATACAAAATATACTCTATTAATTTGTCCACACAGGTACGGGAGCTGGGATGCTGAACGTGACAGTCCACAGCAATACATCTTTTACCATCCACTGGAAAGAAGATCTCATCAAAAACTATGTCTGCTACTCTGTGGAGTGGATGGAGAGGGGACATAAAGCAGGGTCCATGTCTTTTTATGAGAATAAATACAACCACAGGACTTTAACGTATTTACCAGGTAAGGAAAAATGTACAGATGTTGACCAACCCTGTCCTGTTCAATGTCTTTACTTAAGTGTTCTGCCACGTACATTTTCAAAAAAGTTAATAGGTGTCATATTCAGAAGTTAAAGGATATACGTGTTTTTGTACAAAGCAGAGGACCTTTCAGGGAAAAGGATTTGTTTGAAGGTTCAGCCAACAAAGTTAAGGTTAGGGAAAGGGAAAACATGTATCATGACCCTGACAGAGTCCTCAGGTTGTTTTAATATACTTCAAGTGTATTTCGGAATACTTCAAATGTTGTTGGAGAGTTAAACCTTTTTAGACTTGTTCCTTCTCCATACACATTGGACGTATGTGAAGTTGTGCCAGGAACCCCCACTTAAAAAAACAGAAAACATGCAAGGATAAGCAAATACAATTCATTTCAGTGAACATTTTTGCATCTTCTGTTTAAACATAATTTGTTCAAAAACGTTTTTTTTCCTAATTTTGTTGCTAGTAACATTGTTTAGGTGGCCTTATGATTCTCATAGAACGTTGTTTGCTAATTTGAATAGGTAGTATGAAAATACAATCTTCAGTTTCAGTTTCCTTCCTCTGAGATAATATATTTGGTTATTTTAAATCCCCAGAGCCTTTGGAGCCTTTGGAGCCTTATAAGAGATACAGCATCACTCTGCACACACGGCCAGACAAGGACACCTGCAACATGAAGAAGGTGAACAACAGTGAGAGCACCTATGGGAGAACACACTTCTACTCCATAGAAGGATGTAAGTCACAGGCCTTCTACCTTTCCACTATTTTTATAATGTTGTCAATAAATGAATTACTCTCATGCTATAAAGCTTGCTGTAAAGAAAACCAAACAGTGACAAAGATAAACCAAATTATCGAACAAGATTTGGTCCCAGAGACGAGTTTGCACCAATTATTACAAAGACCACGAATGTCTGCATTAAATTGAATTTCCATCCATCCAACATTGGTTGAGAAATTGAGAATCTGCTTGTAAATCAAACAATCTGCTAGCAGTGCTAGAGAGAAAAGTCAAGGGATCACCAAAGTCCAACACAGTCTCACGGATTCAGCCTGTGGGGGACCATGAATATACACATTTTCATGGCAATCCATCAAATTGTTGTTGGGATGCTTCAGTCTGTTTCAGTTGTGGACTGCCTGAACAATATTGAAATCACAACAGAAGCTACACGGATAGCCTACAGTAGCTAACACCAAGGATAAAGATCACATCTAATAGGCCAATACATATTGATTTTTCTTATCCTATCAAGAACCAAACAGACTGATTTCTTGATATTGTGCTCCCAAAGCTCCTCTCAGTGCTCCCACAAAGCTCAGCATCTACAATGTATCGCCGAATTCAGTGGAGCTGCAGTGGTTGTCCATCCCAGAGGACGACATCAGAGGTTTCCTTCTGGGTTACATAATCTACTGCACTGAGTGCCACCATGGAGGGGCCACTACAGAGAGAAGTAAGTATCCACCCAAAACGAAGTCCTAACTCACTTACAAGCTTTTATACTCGTTATTTTGGCCAAACCATAAATACAAAACAAAGTTTCAATTGTAAAGTCCAGATAAAACATGTAAAATAACTTTGTATCAGCTGTAACATCATTGGCTTCACATTGTTGTTTGCCCTCAGTGACACACAGCCTATTATTGTCAGTGGAGTTCCTGTCTACCAGCTAGTTTGTTTACCACTGTCTCAGTCTCTAGAGGTTGATGAACAATATTGATAGACTGAAATTGAAAGCTGACAATTCTTACAAACTTAATAAGTGGAATTTGATGGTTTGACAAGACAAGAACGCTGTCAATGTGGTGTGACAAAAGCACTAACAACATACTGCTAACAATCACAAACATCTACAACAACATAGCTCTACCTAGATGACAGCATTTCCTCGTGTGAAAGTTCTGTTTTTGAATTTAGCCATACAGCCTGCTAGCAGCTCCATACGATTATATTCATGCACATAATAGCTTGTGCTAGCTGCTAATCAATGTCAGCATGCTAACATGCTCAAACAATAATGCTAACATACTGATATTGAGCAGACCTAATGTTTACCATGTCCATCGTGTACCTTGGTAGCATGCTAACATTAGCAAATTAGCATTATGTGTTGTTCAGGTGAGGATGACAGGAAAGTCCTGAGTTGCACATTTTCACCAAAAACCAGGAATCACCACACAGTTTAGCTCATTAAATCCAGTTGTTAATAACTAGTGTAAGGGACTGAGAGGCAGAGTAGTGGGAGGCACCTACATTCCCAATAGGTGGCTCCACCCGCTGCCAATTAGCAGTATTGGGACCAGGTGTGGAGACCTCACACCTGGTGCTAATCACTCCCTCAAGGGAGACAAAGCAGACAGAGTTGCTCAGTTGTGTGTGGCACATGGAGGGAGCAGGAGGCTCCCAGCGTGAGGAAACATTTTTGTAAGCTGGTAAGTCGGTTAGCGGCCCGGCTACGTTAGCCTTTGTTTAGTTAAAGGTATTTTTGAGTTTGTTAGCAATAAAGCCTCTTTTTGGATTTGAACACTGCCTCTGTCGTGATTGCTGCACTACCACTTTTCTCTTTATCTGCCCTGTCCTGTTACACTAGATAAAGACACATTTAACCAGCTAATGGCACAACTAAGAAAGTCAGAAGTTGAACAAAAACATGGGGCTCTACGGGGACAATGATTATTGGTACAAATTCACCAAAAGGTTGTTTAGAGATTTCAGTCTGGATAAAAGTTGTTGACCAACCGACTGATTTATGTCACCATCCCTATCTGTTTTGCCAAAAGTAAATGATGGTTTAGTATTTGGAAATCCAGCCTAACTTGAAGGCAGATGTGTCCAAATCACATGCTCAAAACCTGTCACTCTTTCATTGCAGATATTACAGTGTCAAACAGCTATGAATTGGGGGATCTCAAAGATGGCACAGCATATGAAGTCCAGATATCAGGTTTCACTGAGGCGGGAGTTGGAGTACGAAGCACACCAATCGGCTTTAAAACAAACTTTCAAGGTTAAATGAATCAAAAATCTTTTCATCACTAAACATTTATACAATGTAATTTGTTAGACTGCCTCACTAAATGTGTTTTTCCTGCTGTCTTTCTTTCCGTAGAACTTTCTAATCTCATTGGTGTCATCACAATCTTTGCAGTTATAGGCATTGTGCTTATATTTGGATCTCCGGTAATAAAAAGGTACAGTCCCTTTCTTTCATGTATGCTGAACAAGCTGTCCCTACATGTTTGTATTGGTAAATACTTACTCTACACTACCTACTTTAACTAGAGCAAAAGTCATTCTGTGGCCGAGCATACCTAACCCTGGAAAAAGCAACGCAATGCAGAAAATAGAAGAGCCCTGTGAACTGGTGAGTGTCTGTTTTTGCAGTTTTAACATTATGAAGCAAAACATAACATCCAGCCAGTCTGAGACAAAGTACAACTTAAGTTAATGAGGAGCTGTTTTTACTTCAATCAGGAACTACTAGGATCCATAAACCACCTGGAGGTGGAAGAATGGGATACAAACAGCCTAAAGATAGTAGAAAAACAAGAAGTGATCCCTGCTAGCCCGTTACCATCAATGTTGCCGCTCCTCCACGCCTCAGATGATGAGGAAGACTCAACAGAAATGACTTGTAACTGGATCCAGGGAGACACAGGAGACTCAACTGAAGAAATCCCATCTGACATTACTGGAAAAATCATCCCAGACATCAACAGGATAGACCCCCAGAGCTCTCCTTTCACATTTCCATGTGACTATACGACAATAGAAATGTTTCAGCAGGGGATTCCTCAGAGCATGCCAGCAAGGACATCCGTTTCTCAAGACACAGAAAGCGACCCAGAGGACACAGAGTGGACTGTGGTGAAATCAGGATTGGACTATATGAGCCAATTTAGTACTAGTCCGATCTTGGACGGCAAGGAGATATCCACGATTTTGTGAAAAGAGTTTGGAACACAAGAACCATTGTCCATGAACATCTGAATCAGACCACATACTGTATGTATGGCATTCCACAAAATCCAGAACCTCTATACTGTATGTATTTCTACGTTACTTGAAAATGCACATTAACATCTCTGCTCATTTCTTGAGATACATCTTTGAACATAAAGTATGCTATTTTCATCTGTACATGGATAACCTTGACGTTTGAATAAAAAGGGCAAAAATTACCTCATTTACATGCCCCGACTTCATAAGCATTAGTGAAATGATTATAATCACTTTGAAATGAAGTTCAATTGAACAATCGTCTCAATGCCTTTTCTATATCTGCAACTGTGCAGAGATGCTGAGTTTAACAGAAAAATAAAAACATGCATTTAAATATAAACTTTTTCACTAATGATTCAAATCCTTCGGAACGGCACTATTTTACAGTAAAATGACCAGATTCCAAGAAAGCAAAGGTCAAAATCAGCAATTACTTGGTGGAAGGACACAACTGAGACCAAATGACTGAATGAAAAGTGTCTTTATTGAGTGTTTTTGGAAACAGATCAGATGTTTTGTCAGTTTCAAACTGAGGATGAGCACATACATCCAGGCTCTTCAAAAACAGTGTTTTCACCAAACCTTCAGATGAAGTCCCAAACACAGATATCAAGTGCCTTATCCCCAGGAACAAACCATGAATCTTTTCTACATATTGACAATACATGGTGGATACAAAATATGGTTTGTGTTATTGTGTTGAAAATGTTTTTTTATTTTTTATTAAACATTATCACGACTTCACCACTTCAAACTGAAGCTTTGTGTCAATGAAAAAAACGGGAAAAGAAAAAGAAAATAACCTATTAGGTTTGTAAAAGCCATAAAGGTGGAATTTAAATTCCATTTAAAATTAAAGCTTTCCTAAAAGCACTGATTTTAATGCGGAGCCAGTTTGCGGACACATCTTTGACACAATCACAATTATGCAAACTGAACAGCAAATTAAAAAATGATAGAACAGATTGTGAAATAAAAGACAAATTCACTGAAGGTTCAATCTACTCTATTCATTACTAAAGACAGCTGACAATACTTAAATATAACATCTCATAAACTTCACGTATTTTACATCCTAAACAATAATTCCAAGTTGCATCTGTCAATAAGTCTCCATATTTCATTAGAATATTCTGTACAATCTTAGTCTAGGCACTTTTTGACCCTTCTGTGCGTGCAAGTAGTTATTTGACCTTTGACATATCCAGGCTCTGTTTGCGTCTCACTTTCTTCAGAGCAATATGAGTTAACACACATTTTGCACACCACCATCATCTTTTTTACAGTATAGGCTTTTTTAGTATTTAAAAAACAGTAAATACCTTCTTTTTTTTTTTTATCTCACAGCATTACAACAACAACAGGAAAAATAAACATTGTGACAGCTATGATTTAGCAACTAGCCTGAAATATATAAAAGCAAGTGAAAGTACACTCATAAAACAAAATATAAAACGATGTATTCATGGTGACCATATCAGACATTTTTCTTTTTATAAAACACATTAGCAACATGTTGAAAGGAACAGTATACACAATTTTGCATTCTCACATTACAACACTTCAAGTCTCAACAGCAGTTGACCGGTTCCAGGAGGCAGAGCAGGGAGAAAAAGGACATTTCACCAACCTGGTTGTCAAATCTCCCTTTAACGCCACAAAGGGCAACTTTTCAATACACTCCTTCATGTTCTTACACCTTAAAAGTTACCATTTGTTTCACTCAGTAAATAAGCCAGCAGAAAACGGGAAGTTGTTGTCACAGCCACACCAAGGCCAGAGAAGCAGACTTAGAGAAAACAGTTACACCCCATGAGACCTCAGTCAGAGAGAGGGATGTTTTAGTTTTTGTGAAAAATGGCCCTATTAATGAGGGTGTTGGAGAGAAACTCCCTCTGGTGATAACTTTCCGATTTTAGTCTTTGCTGATCCATATACAAAAAGCATAAAAGCGCCTTTTTAACAGAGCTGCACCCATTTTTTGACCAAGCATTAGGTCAGTCAGAGTTAAAGTGAGTTGTCTATGCATTGAGAAAACAGCAGCTTGCCGTCAGTGGGGATTTTAGCCTTTGCAGACCATTACTATGAACTATGAATACTTACTACACTATTACACAAATACTGATCATTTTGAAGGCAATAAAGGCTTTTTGAACAACTAAGTGTGGTTGAGATGTTTACTGGAGGAATAGAAAGCAACATTTGTTGTTTTATATTGGGTTATGCAATCCAATACGTCTAAAGTTCAGTTATTGTTGCGGTGTTCCTAAGCTTGTATTATTTAGTGTTGTACTGATTTTGTACATTGTATCAAGTGTACCTGCTGCAAGTCCCAAAATCTTACGAGTGCCCTTAAAGTGGGATATTGAGAATGAATAACAGCGTCCATGCAACGATGTGCTTTAGAAATCAGGTTGTGATGATAATGATGATGATGATAATGATGATGATGGTGATGATGATGGTGATGATGGTGATGATGATGATGGTGATGAGACAAACATGCTGTTGTTAGTGGTTATCTGCTGCATATGAGGTTATACTCATGTGATGGGTGCTGCATAATTTGACGAAAAAAAGGGTTAGTTTCCATGGCGATGGAATAGTCCCTTGTTGTCCGCACCCATTGATGCATATTCATTGTGAGTCTTGTAGCTGCCGTTCTGCTGGGCGCAGGGTGATGACATCATGTCCTCACTGAGCGTGTCCTCTCTGTCACTTTCATATTCGTCTTTCTCTTCCCTGTCGTAGTCCCTTTCCACCTGGAATTTGAACGAGTAACAATCAAACCTGGTCGGCTCAAAGTTCAGGTACTAAAAAGGTCAAAGATTTACATTACCAGAACATCAACAGGTAACTTAAATTAAAATAAGCATCTTGCTAAACGTATTTTGATTCATTCAATAATTCTATATATATATATATAACGTTATATATATATCTCAATACACGATGGCAATGGCAAGTCATATCTTATGTATTTTCAATGTGTCTCATGTGCAAGTGGGTTCTGCTTTTTCTCAATTCATTCTCAAAATTAAAACTGATTTTTTTTTTTTTTTTATAAACTAGGATTAAGACTCATTTATAAATCCCAGTTATAGTTCAGTCTAGTGAAATCATGTCTCCTTTTTCAACAACACTTACGTTTAAATGCCTTTGTTCATCTGGGATGTGAAAAATATCACATTTCCACAGTCGAGAAATAAAGTGTGGGTTCTGTTCCAAATTCAGTTACAGAATCCTTCCTGGCTGCAGACAGAAGGCTTCACACTGAACAGCGAACCTGCGCTGCCTTCCATTTCCATCACTTGTTTCCAATACAGACTTTATTCTTACATTTTTGCTGTTATACTGTGTTCTGTGTACAATGACTCGGTAAATAAAAAAGATTACTGCGGAGATGTCTACAGGGGGAATGTGTATTATTATAAAAACGCATTTTGGCTGTATCTGTCTAAATGACTTTGAACTTTGAAACGTGTCATGAATATACAGACTGTGCTATGCAGGCACTTTGCAGGTTAGCAGTGAGAAGAACCGCTGCCATTTGTTGAACAAATGTTCCGATTGTTATCGGAAGCAAAGATGGAGCGCGATAAGATTAAAATGTGTCACCTTTATCTGATGGCTATCTCCTTTGTGTGATCTAAAGTATAAACTTTAGAAAGTAGGTCGGTGTTCACAAGGTTTGATTCTTGAGTTTTGTAACCTCTGATAAAAAAACAGATTACTCGGGGGGGATTTCTAGGGGACAGGAAATCAGAGATTTGCAGACATGCAGTGGGACAGACATCTCATCCCCCTCATGTCTGTCAGTGTTACAAAGCTCAGCTCATTCAAATATCAGCAGTCTGACAGCTTCACTTGGCTGCTTGAGCAGGAGAAAATGAACAGCAGATTCTGGTATCTGCAGAGGGAGGTCTTTTAAAGCAAGGTGTTTTAATTAACAGCTTTATTACCTTCATTGGCTTGGCCTTGCTCTTCATCTTCTCCTCGTCCTTGCGGCTCCTCTTCCTGGATGTTGAGCGCTCCTTCCTGTCCCTGCTGCGCTCCCTCCTCTTGTCTTTCCTTCCTCTGAAAAAGCCAATGCAGACATAAGGACACAAATCGTAATCATGCACACAAAATCAATGATATTGTAAACGGTAAATACACCTTGAAAAAAAAGACAAAGGTTAGCATAGGAGACGATGAGTTTACCTTTTTGGGGAGGGTGACTTTGCTTTCCTCCGGGGGCTCCTTGAGCGATCCTTACTCTTCCTCCTATGGCCCCTGAGAACACCACATTACCAGGATTTAATACATTTTTGAAACAATATGAGCAATTATGGATAAGCAGGAACATGAGATTAGATTAAGGACAAAACATTGATAGAAACATAAAAAACATCAAATGTATTGTATTAAAAGATGAATAAGATTATGTTGTCCTCATTGGTGCCAGATGCAGCACAACATGAGCCAAATCTTGGCAGCAACTGACTCATCAAGTGCCTGGGGACCCCTGCTGTTCAGGAAAAGGATAACAGAAGGGCACTAGAGTAGATTTAGGCCCAATTCCAAAGAGCCGTTCCAAACCAACAAGTGTGGAGGGGGGGTGGGTTACAAGCCCTCCAACAGAGAGTCTGCATCACACCTGACTTCACCTGCTGCTCTGCCTGACCGACCCAACGCCGTGTGTGTCCGTCATGAGACACGCTTTTACAAACAGTTCCGTGCAAACATTTACTGATACAACAAGATAGACATTTAATAATTTCATTCAGATGTTAACAACGTCATGGTTAGCTCGTATTTTTCAAAAGGATCATATACCCGTGTTTAGTCAAGAAAACGGTAAATGTGTGCATTTGATTATAAAGTATACATTTACAGGGACTGTTGCAAAAACTTAGCAGCTTATAAACATCAGATTTTAAACCAAAAATAGGTTTACATCAAATAAACGCCATTTAAGATTTTTAGAGTTTTATTTTTGTTATTATTTTTTGTCCAAGAGATGTTGATTTGAAACCGTTGTTACGGAAAGTTATGGCCTGTTTCTGCTGGAGAGGTGGCCCCAAAGCTTGCCGCTGTATTTACAACCTCCACCTGAAAGGAGGGGGACTCTTTAAGCTGCGAGTGTCACTCCTGTGGGTGGTAGTGTGTAGGGTTTGGTTTGGAATTGGGCCAATTTCTACTCCAATTTTACAGCACTGTAAATCTAAAATGAAATTACAGCAGCAGAATGTGCCTCACATCCAGCTGTAACACTGTTTAGATGAATATTTCAAGCTAAACATTGTGTTTTTTTCCCCAACATACCTAGAGCGACTGCGACTATGTTTCTTGTCTCGGGAGAGAGAGCTCCTCCTGTGGCTGCTCCGGGAATTGTGGGAGTCATTCCTGGGACACAACTTTGGCGCTGGTCTGCTACAGGACAAAAAAATGTCACTGACCTGAAAAGATTGCCATCATATGATCACAGCATCATGCAAGAGTGTATTAGTCATCACCTTTGTTTCGAGCGGGATCTTTTCCTGTGCATTTTTGAGCAAGAGCGGGATCTTGACAGTGAGCGGGAGCGACATAATCTCCGAGAGCGACTGGGGGAGCATTTCTTTAAGTCAGCTGGAGGAAGAGTAGCAGTCTCAGTGTCAGGACAAATTCACTTATCTGTTACTAAATCCCTTAAACATGCAGAAAATCAAGATGTTGTACCTGGATCTATGGCAGCAGCAATGGTACACTGTGCTTCCCTCACCCTCTTCATCACACTTTCTAGCTCCTTAGCTGCAGCCTGTGGCGTCATCTCTGGGGGTTTGACTATGGCGTTATTGGAATGATTCACCCTGAAAGACATAAAACAATATCAACTGACACCAACTTACTAATGATATCTGGTTCTTTGTGATGACTCATGTCATTTTGACCACCTAGCTTCTTATTTGAGAACAATATTAAGAGAAATTAGGTGCTACTGGATCAGTCAAATTGTCTTTTTCTCAAAACGACTCACTTCAGCGGTCTGTCTCCGAACATGACTCCATTGAAGGTCAGGGCTCTGTTGACGGACTCCTGGCCAACAAACTCTACGAAGGCGAAGCGTGTCGGCTGGGTCTCATCTCCAGCCATTCGCACAAACTTCACTTCGCCCACCTGCTTGAAGAACTCCAGCAGCTGGTCTGCATTGGTGGTCTGTGGAATGAAGGATGTAAAGAATGTAAAGCTTTGATCCTCTGCCTGAACGTGACTGGTGCCTTATAGGCAACAGCTTATTTTTATTGAGCCTGACTTGATGTGGTTAGGCGTCTGGACCTATTTTAGTGGTTGATTATCATACACCATCAGCAGTAAATGGTAAACCAACAAAAAAATGGGGGATGAGTCAGAGTTGTGGTTGTCTGCCAGAATCTTTCATCAATTGAATTGTATCCAGTGAGCCTCATTTTTACATTACACTTGTTAGATCTTAGCCGTTGTTAAATATATATTTTAACTGGGGGAAGTATTTTAGTCATCGCATGTCTTGATCTTAGGTTATTAGAGAAACAAGCAAAGCAAACATTAGCAGTTAGTTAGCTGCCCCTCTATCCAATATCTGCCAAACTTTTATTTTGAGAGACCTGTAGTGGCCAAAATTTACATTTTGTGCGTTTAAAGGATGTGTCTGTTGATTTTCTGTATCTTTCTTATGTAGACAAATCTCAAGATGACCTAAAATGACAATTATTGAAGAATAAATTAGTACCCACATCCTAATATTTACTCTATTTCTGTGCCGTATAGCTCCATTGTTCTTTGAAAACACACAAATGGGCCATACTGGGTTACATGTGCAACGGAAAGACACACCACTTTGCTGCTAGGTAAGAATAAACCATTTGACATGAGGTTTGTTACCTGTGAGTTCAAGTTGCCAACATAGACGGTCCTCCTGATCTCATCCACTTTTGAGGGGTCCACATTTCCCATGAGGGGGGCCTGGGTGAGTGATGATGCTGTGGGGTCCAGAGCAGCTGACAGCCGACTCACTGCAGGGACGTTCAGCTGCAGGTATCAAACACACACACAGGTTTTACTTAAGATGAAAGCTCAAAGGAGACACATAAAAGAGGACACGAGAGGTGCTGACTCACATTCTGAAGGGGAGCGGGAGTAGGAATTGGCAGCAGCCCCCCACCAGGAATCAGACTAGGTGCTGGAGCGGCAGGTGCCAAAAGAGACAAGGCTTTGGCCTCTTCTGGGATTTTCCCTGCAGGACAGAAGCAGATATTAGTGAAGGCATTAGAGGGACTCGTCTCTATGTCTCCTCTATGTCTGCTCAATTAGCCCACTGTATTCTAGAGAGAAAGAGAGCATACACCTCCCCATACAGCCTACAACTGTCTACTACTGGAGACCGAGCAGCATTACTTCCATTTGTTAAATTATTCATTTCAGTCAATCTGAATTATTATTGTCAATGAAAATCTTTACTTTGTTTTCAAAAACACTCTTTTTTTGTCCTTGGTCTCTTTTCATAGATCAAAAAAGAATAAGAAAAAACACAATGCAGAGAATGAGTCAACACTTTGATGCATGGGTCACCTGTACTGGAAACATATTGGTCATGAACCATACGATATCAAGCATGGGCGCTTTTCCGTGGGGGCGATCGTTTCGCAGTGTTGGAAAGGTGTGCAACACAAGACAACCCCAATGGCTGCATCACTAATAGCACACAGGACATCAGATACAGAGAAGAACAACAATTTTAAGAACTGTAGGAAATGTTAGCCAAGACTAAAAACAACCAATTAGGATTTATTTGTTCTGATTCCACTTCCATTAAGGGTTGCTGCTTTTATAGCTGGAGAAGAGAGCTACGTTAAGACCACTAAGAAACAACATATACAAATTCAGTTCATTGTAGCTGGAAGCCCTGAGCATGATTACCACAGGAAATGTTCTTCTAGTGCTGGAAATATATAAAACAAATAGCGACGCAAAGCTTTAAATCATGTGTCACATGTTGAAAAGAAAAGATGATGTTGAATGGAGTGACTTTGTGCTATTATAATGTATTAAACATCCATAGCAGAGCTGTAATGTGAGTGTAAATAGAATTTAAAATATTCTACTAGTTCTCACATTCATAATGTCTAGCTCCTCACTATGTGAACAGGTGTAGGCGACAAGAGAGTAAAGTGTTAGTGATCCTCCTAGCATCCCATGTGTGATACACATCCCACCGGTATGCCGTAGCAACCTGGACAGAATTCAATCACACACAAGCTGCAGCTGTAGCAGGAAGAGAGAGGGGGGTGGGGGTTGGACAATAATCAAAACAACAAACCAAAATAACAAATATAAACACAAAGCTAGAGATAAGCAGTACTATAGTTTCTAGATAGAGACAGTAGAGAGTGGACAACATGGGAAAGTATGAAAGGAAACAAACCAAAATAAAAAATTAAATAAATAAAAAGAGACAAGGTGTCCATCTTGGAAGGCTCAGCAGGCTATTCTCCTGGTCACATTCCCCCTTGAAGGCTGCGTTGGCCCGATCGGGGATAGTGGCTTGGAAAACAATGCCTGACTCAGGCTAGTGTAGTGTAACAGCTGGGCCAGTCTAGTCATCTGATATGCACACATAATCACACAGAAAAAACATACAAAACCAAATTAATAAACTCAGTAGCCATCCAGCACCAAGTCAGGTGGACAAAAAGCATCAAGTTAGAGGTGATATCATTTGTTTGACTGTACACAAGAGAGGCAGGTTTAAAGAAAAAGGAGCACCAAAAATGAAAGCGAGAGAAAGGGGATTAATTCAACTGTGATACCATGGACTTATTTTCATGAAACAAGTAATGGCAGTTTATTAAAGAAAATACACAAGCTACTTGTTTCACATAATCCAGTGTTTACAGTGAGTAAAGCGATGTAGTGGAGCTTCGAAAACAGTCATCACTGCTCTAATGATAGAAACAACCTTGTGACAGCAAACAGAAACCTTGGCTGGGCACTACAGGAAATAAGATGGCTAGGTTTTTTAGGGTGATACAACCAGACACCTGTGTACAAAACTAGCGTCATCAGTGGCTAAAATCAAGACTACCCAACTGGCACAACTCCATGTGAGAAAAAGAAAACAACCCATAATTCAACCAAAACACCAAACGGTTGGATTCAAAAGGGACGACCTCATAGCAATTCGTACATTGCATTTGTATTACTTTAAAGAAACCGACATTCACTCACCTTCCGCACATGGCACCACTATCAAAGCTCTGTCAATAAAAACAGTATTGGTGAGATGTTGCGCCACACAAACACTGGAGGGGTCCCGGTACTTTATATAGCACACTTTGGACGAGAAAGACAGAGGGGCATTGCTGTGAAATAAAGCATAAACAGAAAACAAGGCGGGTTAGTTATATTTTTCTTCCGTTATATCATTATTTGCATGTTTTAGTGGGTTGCAGAAAGGCCTCAGATCCACGGTGTTGCATAGCTAGACATGCCGGGGTAGGTTGCTCTTACTCGGGCGGGTAGAGCCGCAGCTCGTCGATGTCTCCCAGGAAGCCAAACAGGGTGCGCATCTGCTCGCTGCTCACGGCCGAGGGCAGGTTAGTAACCTGGACGACAGCAGTCCCTGGTATCCCGCTCATTGTGCAAACTGATAGAAAACGTTGACAACCTATAAATTGTGTTTATATACAATCTTTAATTCTCTGTCACCCCGCTCGGCGCCGTGCAGCGTACATCCAAGCGGGCGGAGCGACAGGCTTCACCGGCTTCTTCTTATTTTTAAACCAGGTTGATAATTAACTCTGTGGTGCACTACTGCCCTCTATTGTGTGGAAAGTAAAAGTACTAACTACACTGTAAAAATACTGCATTACAAGTAAAAGTATTGCATTGAGAATAGTACACGTAAAAGTATGAAACAGGAAAAATATACTTGAAGGAGGATATATTTGCAAGGAAAAAAATCTCAAAATTATAAAAAATAAAATCTTAAATTTCGAGAAGCTGAAACTGTGTAATGTTTCTCAACACACTTATTGTTTCAGGTAGAATATAATGTTGGATGGCATCATATTACACAAGTTCTTCCTAAGTGGTGTGTGTAAAAATCTGAATTGATGAAGTAGCTAACTACATTTCTAAAATAAATGTAGTGAAGTAAAAAGTACAATATTTACCTTTGAATTGTCATGAAGTAGAAGAATGACGGCACAGAAGGAAAATTCAATAAAGAAATGCTCCTCAAGTTGCACAATCATGAATGTTAAAATAGTTCATTGAACTGTTATGATATCAAGATTATGGAGTTCAGGCCTACTTAAACAATATAATATGGTTCATTACCAGAGGTAGAATAAGTAGGCTACTGTACTTAGATTATTTACTTAAGTAAAAGTAGCAAACAGTGTACAAATACTCAGTTACAAGTATATGTCCTGCATTCAAAATTGTACTTAAAAAGTAGTAGTAAAAGTAGCCTAGTACATAATAACCATTTAAAGCACCAAATATGTTTTAATTATTGCATTAAAATTAGTGGTGCATTTATGTTTTCTTCACTTCAATGTTGCACTTGCCCCAGGTTTGTTTGAATTACTTTATACACTACAGAGTAGCTTAACCTAAAATAATACATAATAATGTATTAGCCTAATTGATTTATATTTTAAATCTGCAAAGTAACTAGTAAATAAATATGTCAGAAATCTAGTGGTGAAATAGCATAAAGTGAAAATACTCACGTAAAGTACAAATACCTCAATGTTTATGTAGCCTACTTGAGTAAATTGGTTACATTTCACCACTGTTCGTTCATCACATGTAGCCTATCTATATGTATGGGAACTTGTGGTAGGGGTAAATTGAGGGGAGTTTAGTGAACTGACTGCTATAGGGACATAAATCATTTTTGTGATGGACCTGTAGCGCCTTCAAGAGGGGAGAAGTTGAAAAAACTGGATCGATTAACGGGTTAAGAGGGTCACTGGTTATTTCTATTTGACGGGGTAACGGTGGGCTTTGTGTAGGCCTACATTGAATTAACTGAGGAGCAGACAAAATTGGAGGCTTTATTTATTTCTCTTCATCGTGAGACTGCCTCCAGCTCCCGTGGAATAAAAGTAAAAAGTGGGCATAATGTTGACTTTTGCAGTGAGAAAAAAACGTTTTAACAGAGCAGCACCGTGACGGACATAGATAAAAGTGAATATTTAAGAATTTTAAATCAAGGAGACTTTTTGATAAAACACAGACATGTGCACAAGGCTCCGAAAAAGAACAATTGATGATAAACATAATAGGCTAGGCCTACTTTTAAGTTAAAAGTAATTTAATTAATTGATGGTTAAAAGTTTTAACCATCAATTATTCTTTTTAAACTGTAACTTTCCCGTTATTCCTTTGAGGCATCATGATTACTACGATAGTAATCCCAGTGCAAAGTAAACGCATCACAAGATACACGAGGATCAGGACGCCACATTTACTCAATTATGAAACAAAAAGTCAACTTTAGAAGCAAAAATGCTTCGATATCTAAAATGGGGTTAATTGACTATGCAATATTTTCAGTAGCCTATATTAATGAAAGCATGCGCTAATAACAATAAACTGTATGCCAACATTTATATTTTTTATTTTGTAAGCAATCTTTACAAAACACAAGAGGAAAAAATAAATATGGACGGTTTATTCTTGCTTTAACTTTTATTATTCTACTCTGGGACAAGTTTAGAGACGCGAGTGTGTGTGTTCATCATCATGAGGCCTCATACACATCACCTTTTGTACGGACACAGCTAATCTGAAGTCTGAACAAACACACATCCATTTACATAATCAAATGTAGGCCTACTGCTCATGCACAGGCAGGCACGCACGAGCTTCAGTGAAAGTCATGGCAACAGAGCATTACGTTCTACCGAGGCTATAAAATGCTGCAGAGCTTCAATCAGTCATTTGCACTCAGACTTGACACAAGTTCACATGCGAAAACTGGAGAGTTGAATTTTGATCCCAAAAACTTCTAGAAGAACCAACAGTTTGATAACTGAGCATCAGTAACACCTTAAGTAAATCTAAAGTAAAAAAAACTATACCAGCTGTTAACATGGTTTCGCCAGGACCCCCTGCGGAGGAACACCTGCTGACCCGTGTCACACGGTGGTTCACTGGCTTTGCTGGTAATACATCATTTAATTTCATGCCAAATGTATTTATAAATGTTTATTTAGTCACTTTGAGTTATTTTAAGTAAGACATGTGCATTCAATTACGTGAAATTGTTAAATATTAAGATTCAGACATTATGGAATGTTGGCTTGAAAGTTGGAAAAACAAGATTTGGGGTCACTCAACGTTTTATCGGCATAAAATGAAAGAAATACGATAGAACTGGGAAAACTTTGGCGGGACAGTTGTAGAATGGGTTAACAAAGCTGTAGTGATTTGAAAACCCGGTTATATTTTGTTTAACGGCCTCATATCGACGAATTAAGTGTCGAAAATGGACAAAACAAAATGGCGACCAGCACCATGGTGATAATAGAACGTACAGGTCTAGGTCATAGACTGTATATATAAAGGTCATATAGGTCGTTTCTCTGTAGCCTACTAGGGACAGTTGAGTTTTGTGTTAAATGTATCTGGAGATATGTTGTGGTCTTCTTAAGTTCAACAATATCACATTTGTTTACTATATTTCCATCTAACATTTAAATATTCTAAAGTTAATATATAGTTTGTGTTTTCTGAAGAGATGAGTGTTCGGATATGCTGTTTCTGCACATCATTATTTGTATCTCAAAATTAAAGAGAGTTACCAATTATAACGTAATTCATTTGCCCTGCCAAAACACACATTATGGATGTGGTTATTTTGGAGAAGCCAATGTAATTTAACGATGAGCAGGATTATTGTGTTATTAAATTGACTTATTACTGCCTCACTGAGAAGAGACAGTAGGCTACAGTATGTCATAAAACTCAAACCAACTGAATACAACTCAACCTTATTCACTTATGCTCTACAGTCCCTGTTACAGCTACTGTGCTCATATAGGGAAGATACAAATGTATAAATATAAATATAGCATTGTCATAATTTGTTCTTATTTTAAATGACCAGATAAATAGTAAAATGGTTGGCCCTCATTACAGTTTTCAGTTACACCCGTCTGATTTGGCTGGCAAATATGCAACACCAATTTGCAAATACAATTTTTAGAAATAACATGATAATTACACAACAGCACCTTACCTGTATTTCGTCATGCGTTATCAAACCACACAAATACCAGTAGCTGAATTGCATACTATTTGATAATCATTTTAGAGGGGGCAGTGTTAAGTGGTGGCTTTTCTACTAACTGATTAATGATGCGTTTAACTTTAGACCAACTGATTAGGTTTGTTTCATAGAAGTGCAGAATGTGACTTTTTTCAAATACCTGTCTTGTTCCTCAGGTGGCTTCCTGTGGCCTGTGACCAACGCTCGCCCTGATGCTGCAACTCCTCTCAATGACCCGGTCCTGCCTGAGGTCGATGAGGAAGAGCTCGGCGCAGTTGGGGTGGCCGCTGTGGACGGGCTTCAGGAGGCTCAGGCTGAGCCTCATGGAGGTAATGGAGACAGTGAGCAGCCCCCTCCTGCTGCTCCTTCTCCTGTTTATTACACCCTTCCCTATGCTGTTCCCTATGCCGTTCCCTATGCTGTTCCCTATTATGTTCCTTATTCTGTTCCTTATGCTGTTCCCTCCCCTTACTATGCTCCTTGTTCTAATCCTTATGCTTACCCCCACGCTGCTCCTTCTCCTTACGCTGATCGTTATGCTTACCCCCACGCTGCTCCTTCTCCTTACGCTGATCGTTATGCTTACCCCCACGCTGCTCCTTCTCCTTACGCTGATCGTTATGCTTACCCCCACGCTGCTCCTTCTCCTTTCGCTGAACCTTATGCTTACCCTCAAGCTGCTGCTGCTCCTGCCTACCCTCATACTGCCCTTTACGCTGACCCTCCCCATGATGCACATCCTTTAGATGATGTTGATAACGATGGTCTTGATGAGTATCTTCACAGGTACTTGGACGAGCAGTCGTCTGAGGATGAGGATGAAGAGGAAGAGATCGACGTCGTCGGACTCGACATCCCTGTTCTTGATGTTGAGGAAATCGGGCCACTCTTCCTTGAAGATTCCTCCGAGGAGCCCGAAGACGCTCTCGTTCCTGGATCTCCCTCAAGTTCTCGCTCCGGCTGCTCCACAAGAAGATGCAGGGAAGACAGTGAGGAGGAGGAGTCTGCTGCGAAGAGGCCGCGGTGGTCAGAGGACAGCGACGAGGATTGAGTCCGCCATGGTTGGGTTGATCCTACTTGTAACATCAGAGCAATACCTGCCCTCCATCTCTTCCTCTTCACAGCAGGACCACATTATTCAGCTGGTAGCCTTAGCGTCTTGCGTGGCAGATCCAGTTAGCATCTTGCTCCTACTTGATTGACACTTTTCTAAATAGTGGGGCTGGCCTTTGCGTCTGGCTGGGCAAGCATAGCCCCAGGTAGCCTTTGCGTCTTGCGGGGCTGCCAACAACCCAGGACGCGTCTTGCCATGGAATTTTCTTTGGTGTACCATCTCATTATTTGTAGCTCAATCTTTCTTTCTTTGATTCCGTGGGCAGACACTGCTCCAGGTAGCCTTTGCGTCTGGCAGGGCGGGTCCAGGAAGCGTCTTGCACTGATTTGATTGACCTTTTTCTAAATGTCGGGGCTGGCCTTTGCGTCTGGCTGGGCAAGCAAAGCCCCTGGTAGCCTCTGCGTCTTGCGGTGCTAGCAAACACCCAGGAAACGTCCTAGACTGGGGATTTTTGGTGTGCCATCTACAAAAAATGTTGCACAGTGGATCTACGTTGGACCTTGGAGCCTTCACCTCGATGGTGGGTTTGCTTGAATACCCCTCATGTCATGCCCTCACAGTGAAGCTGACAGCACTGTGTGTCCTGGAGGACTCTGCAGTCTGCAGTCTGTTGCTCTCAAGGTCAAACGAAAGACATCACTGGAAACCACTGCACTGACATAAGGACAAGCAGGAAAAAGGCAACAAAATCTAAGAGAACACATGGCACTTGACTCTCATAGCACCTTTACTCACCAATTGTTAGGCAATGCACTGGACACCATCAAACGTCGCGATATTCTGATTTCATTTAAGCCAGCATCTCATTTGGATGCCTCAGGAATGTTTTTTCTCCACAGGGGCGGGTCCAGGTAGCGTCTTGCTCTGACTTGATTGACACTTTTCGACATGGCGGGACTGGCCTTTGCGTCTGGCTGGGCAAGCAAAGCCCCAGGTAGCCTCTGCGTCTTGCGGGGCTGCCAACAACCCAGGAAGCGTCTTGCATTAGGGGTTTTTGGAGTGCCATCTCCTCATTTCTTTGCACGGTGGATCGACGTTGGACCTTGGAGCCTTCACCTTGATGGTGGGTTTGCTTGAATAACCCTCATGTCATGCCCTCACAGTGAAGCTGACAGCACTGTGTGTCCTGGAAGACTCTGCAGTCTGCTGTCTGTTGCTCTCAAGGTCAAACGAAAGACATCACTGGAAACCACTGCACTGACATAAGAAGAAGCAGGAAAAGCCACACAATCAAAGAGAACACATGGCACTTGACTCTCATAGCACCTTTACTCACCAATTGACAGGCAATGCACTGGACACCTTCAAAATATATAACATCAAACATGAGCAGACTTTATTGAACAAAAAAAACCTCCCAAAAATAAGATTTCATTTAAGCCTGCTAAAAAATAGGCATCTCATAAGGAAGCCTCCTGAATGTTTTTTCTCCACAGCTCAAAATTATTAAAGGGATAGTTTGGATAGTGTGAAGTGGGGATGTACAGACAGTCAGGGTCTTACCTACAGTAGATTGTGGTCAACACACACCCTGTTTGAAGAAACAGAAAGGCCATATAGCACCACAGCGAAGCAAAGTGTTTATATGGAGCCGGGACAACAGCAAAATATTTTTTAGCCACCTGAAAGAAAGGCCCACCAAAACAAAAAGAAGCAAATTCATGTTTGAGCAATGCAATATTTAGAATATTTAACCCAGTATACCTTCCCTTTCCAACGGGAAAGTGAAGCAACTATCTATTCTTTCTTAAAAGCCACCACACTTCATTCACAAAACAGTCATTTTTACCTCACAGAACACAGGAGCTGCTGGTCTACCGTTGCCACAGTCTGTTGGTTAGTTTATGTAATTGTGTGACTTGAACTCGCTAGTTTGGATTCACCAAGCAGCCCCTATACACGGCAGTACATGACTTTACTTCCATGCACAAACTCTGCCTTCTTTTACGAACTCGGGACGTGCCGACCCCCATCTACTGAAAGTAATACACTGACTATGGGGAATTACCTCAAACAATCCTTCCTGTCCCTTTAATTTGGCCAAAAAAGGTACAGTAACCATATACAATATATTATATTTTTAATATTCAATAATTCAGAGATAATTTGTGTTACTAACCATCTTTTTCCTTACTTCACTCTTTTCTAACTCCACTAACTGAGATGCTGTTGTTCACCGAAGACAACAAAGATAAGTATGAGCTTCTGTCCTGTAGAGAAAGGGTCCTGGAATAGTCTATACTATAAAAACACAGAAAGTATTATCATGTAACGTTCCTAAAAACTGAATGCGAAATCTAATTGTTTATAGAATATCACTTGTTCAGTAATTCACAGATAAACGCTGACTCAAACTAAAAAGAAATCCACTGTATATGCTTCTCTTGTTTGCCTTTATATCAACACTAATTCAAGTTTCTCTTTGAGGTTGCAGCCATTCTCTGTGGACATCAAGGTAAGAACGAGCTTCTGACTCAACATAGAGAAAATAATGTTGTTGTGTAAACTAGTTCTCTATGTGATATCATTGATTAAAAATTGAAATATTATATGTTTTACTCATTTCATATATTTTTCCTTTCTTTCCTCCACCACCTGAGCTGCTGCGATACACTGAGGATAGAAAAACAGTAGAGTAGTAGGATATAAAAAAGAACAGCAAATGTAACGTTTTATGTAAACTATCTGCATCCTGTAAGCTACACTCATTCATACATGCATCGATATTCAGCCATTTTATTTTAACTAACCATTATGTATATTTCTCTCTGCACTCCACCACCTGAGCTCCTGCTGTTCCCCGTGCAGTAAAGGTGAGTGTGAGCTTCAGACTGACATAAAGTGCACCACATGCAGGGTTACCTTGACGACTCAAAAGGAAATGCAGACCTGCAGGAGAGAACAGACCGAGGTAATAATCAATGAAAACATTCAGAGACATATCCTGCAAGTTTCAATTTAGCTTTTTTATAATTCAAATTGTTGCTCATTGTATTTTACTCTGAACACTTTTCATTAATTTCTCACAGAGACACAGTGTTCCTGCAGCAAATCCAGGCTTACCTCTGCAAGAGAGCTCTATGTAAGTATTTTAACATTACAACAAAAGCAATAGCCACTTAAAGAGTTGACATATGCTGAACTCTTACATAATGCAAAGAGAAAACACATATTGTCTTCTTGTTTCAGGACAGGACTCCTCTCTTGTCTCTGGAAGTCCTGGGTCTGAGTGGGTGCAGACCAGAGCCATCATCTGAGCGCTCCACTGAGCACTCTCTGCCGCCAAGATCTCTCACTGTCACTGTTTGTTGTTGACTTCAATAAAACACCCGGACCAGTCTAAAGTCAATCTTTCTGTTGTCAGATGTTTGTTTTTTTAACTTCAGTGATGTTGGTATACTGCGAAGCTTTTTAAAATGATGTATTGATCGCAGGTCTCATAAAATATAGTGGCTAAAATGCAGCTAAGTCTGCTAAGCACTGAGTCTTTGGACTATTTGTAAAACACAGAACACATTTTTTTTTCTTTCAGGAAGTAAAACTATTAGAGAAAGATACACACTTCACTATATTATCTCTACATTTTCCACCAACACAAATCTAGATACACTATAAGAATCAATTATGTAGAAATGTAGTTTACACACAAGTATAGTGAGGAAACAGCTCTGACAGGCTGTGGTATGTTGTGATTATAGCGAAGGTTGTTTGGCCTGAAACAAAGCAGTTCGGTTTTTTGTAATATAATATCAATTAAGTACTTCTGGTTTGAATGAAAACCGAAAAGGATGGGTTCTGCACACATGCAATAACGTTTATAGACACCCGAGGATGTGAAGTTTTCTTGGATCACAAGGCAGGAAAACCGCTGGAAAATACGAAGTTTGACCAGAGGGTGGCGCCAGAGGAACATGTGGTTACATGACTTCAACAGAATTCATTTCTCTCTGTAGAGAACATTTTTGCTTCAGGAGATCCAGATTACATTGAAAACATCAGCATGTGAGTGTTTAAGAGGTTCAGTGTTAAATTGAAAATACAACCACTGTATAAAACAGACGAGATGGTAGCATGCTACACTTCCAAAAACATCTGGACATTTTTATTTTTGTAAATGTCACCAATCCAATGACAATTAGGAAATGCTAGTGGCCCCATATTCAATAAACCTAATTTGAAAATAGCATCTTAAGTGGCAACATATTCTAAATGTCTTAAAATGCTCAGGCAGTGTTATTATCCCTTTTCTTGAGGTAGGGGTTCAAGTATAAAGTTATTTAAAGGACAATTTGATATGCAATACATTTACACTAATTGCAACTCAATCTGAAGAGTATTTCTCCAACATTCACCTACAAATTAATGTAGAATAGCATACCAAAATATTTGTAATATTCAAATGACAGACACGTTTTCTTTAGATACATTGTTTATTAATTCAAACAGTTTAACATCAAATCACACATGAACGTCAAAATGTTCAGACATAGAATTATAACAAACAATCCAAATGACAAAAACCATAATGTGGACATTTATAAAATAAAGAATCTAGGAGGATGTTTGTGGCAAGCCCCAACCATAAGCTTTATCCTAAGGGAAGTCTTCTCCATGTAGAGCGCCTCCCAAACAAACACTGGAGCCGGTTTCACAGAAGAGGATCTCCATGCCACCTCACCTGTGACCGCGGATCTGGAAATAAAGTCGGATAAATGATTAAAAATGATGGATAGTGTTCCTTGTATAAAATAAGTGTGACTCTCGTAGAAACTTTTTACACAGTAAACAGATTTTAAACTGATGATGTCAACTTGATGATAATGGGGATACATTGTTTATATCTACAACTAACCCTTTATTATCATTTTACCTGATTAATTAGTTTGGTCTATAAAAAAAATTCAGTAAATAGGCAGTCGATGGAATTGCCAATTTGTTGACTTAAGTGCAGATCTATTTAGGCATAAACATTTATTTGTTAAAAAAAAAAAGGAGCATACTCACAGGTTTTTCTGTACAAGGCCACTGATGGTCAGGTCTTTGTGCGCCAGCCTATGGACCAGAGACTAGCTGAAAAAGCAGGGGGCACAGGAGAACACTTTAGTATTTTAAGAACAAAGTAGCAACTTAAAATGTAAAAATAATGTTTGCTTGCAGTCTCTGCTCAGGGTTAAAAAGCTTGAAAGCTTGATCCACATAGAGGATTCAGGTGAAGAAATTCATACATCATTGCTAGGGACCACTTTCTAGACTCAACTGTTTTAGTACCAAAGAAATGATTCACAATCAGCTTACTTCAATTGGATCCACATGGTTAGAAATGATGACGAGCTGGGTCTTCTTGCTCTCCAGAGGTGACAGTGTTCTCACCTGCAAAATAGTGCAGAAATACAATCATTTTCTTCCTTGCAAACAACCTTCCCTTTTTCTTGAACATATTTAAACTATTTTGGCCAATGCTCAGGGTTAAAAAGCTCAAAAGCATCAGGCAATCAGTTGAAGAAATTCGTGTCATCATTGCATCAAGGCCACATTTTAGAAGACCTCAGGAAAGTCCAAACTAACTAATAATACTATAATTGATTGTGTCGTCATCTACACCTTTACTCTGTTACTCACCAGCACGGAGGACAGGGGGCCTCTTGGTCGGGGTGTCTCCCTTCCCAGCAGCCTTCAGCTCAGCGCGGGCCAGCAGCCTCTGCTTCTTCTCCTGCTTGGTCTCTGGCCTGTACTTGTGGGCCAGCTTGAACAGCTGTGTGGCTGAGGAGGAACATTAAAAACATCAGCTACAGCCACACTTGGTTCAGCATCACAAGTGGATATAACTTAGAGTAACTGCATCAGTGATCTTGGTGGGAATGTCAGCACAGACGTTCAGATAGCAAATATTATTAACATCATCTGCAAAGCTACAAATTGTGTTAAGGACCAAGCAGCCATGTATTAGCTGAAACAGTTCTCAACTCACCGGTCTGACGGTCCAGAGCCTGGGTGAACTGGTTGATTGCAGGGGGAACCTTCAGACGCTTGTAGAGGATGGAGCGCTGCCTCTGCAGGCGGATGTAACGAGGCCATTTCACAAAGCGGGTCAAATCACGCTTGGGCTGGATGTCCTGGCCTGTGGGAAAAAATGCAATATTGATCAGTATCTGGAATTAAGCAAAGGACTTTTCTCGTTCTAAAGCTTAAGTGCATCAGCGATCTTGGTGATTAAAATTGTCTTCAATGTTCTTAAGATAGCAAATATTCTTTACATCATCTGCACAGTTGTAGCGTAGTTCTTACAAAACTCAACCTATGGTTACTCACCAATGCCAAAGTTCTTTGGCCTCTTCTCGAAGAGGGGGTTGACTTCTTTGGTGCCAGCTTCTTACCCTTAGTCTGTCAAAAAGTAATCAAGTGTTAGGATGCATGAAAGATCAAAATACAAACTTCTTAACATTTTCCTCCACAATGTATTCTTAATGTGTTATCTTACTATGCCAAACTTATGAGACACTTTGAGGCAATTATTATACTTTTAAGAGTAATAAATTCAGCACTGATAACATCAAATGGATTATTGCACGGTGCACCTATCAAAAAATGGGCTTTGGCATTTATCCTACTATGCCAGCCTTGAGAGAGACTCTATTTTAAGGCCCGAAAGGCCTTGGAAAGACGTAGGTTATCTCCACTCACCGGTCTGGCAGTCCAGAGCCTGCATGCGGATGTACCGAGGCCATTTCGCACAGCATGTCAAATGAAATGTGGACTGAATATCCTGGCCAGGCGGATGTAAAGAGGCCATTTCATAAAGCGGGTCAAATCACGCTTGGGCTGGATGTCCTGGTCTGTGGGAAACAATTTAATATTGATCAGTATCTGGAATTAAAGGACTTTTCTTGTTCTAAAGCTTAAGTGCATCAGCGATCTTGGTGATTAAAAGTTGTCTTCAATGTTCTTAAGATAGCAAATATTCTTTACATCATCTGCACAGTTATAGCCTAGTTCTTACAAAACTCAACCTATGGTTACTCACCAATGCCAAAGTGTTTTGGCCTCTTCTCGAAGAGGGGGTTGACTTCTTTGGTGCCAGCTTCTTACCCTTAGGCTGTCAAAAATTGATCAAGTGTTAGGATGCATGAAAGATCAAAATACAAACTTCTTGACACAAGAAAGCCTTAACATTTTCCTCCACAAAGTATTCTTAATGTGTTATCTTACTATACCAAACTTATGAGACCCTTTTGAGGCAATTATTCTACTTTTAAGAGCAATACATTAAGCACGGATAACATCAAATGGATTATTGCACCTATCAAAATGTACAAGTATGCATGGGCTTTGGCATTTATCCTACTATGCCAGCCTTAAGAGAGGCTCTGTTTTAAGGCCCGAAAGGTTATCTCCACTCACCGGTCTGGCAGTCCAGAGCCTGCATGCGGATGTACCGAGGCCATTTCGCACAGCATGTCAAATGAAATGTGGACTGAATATCCTGGCCAGGCGGATGTAAAGAGGCCATTTCATAAAGCGGGTCAAATCACGCTTGGGCTGGATGTCCTGGTCTGTGGGAAACAATTTAATATTGATCAGTATCTGGAATTAAAGGACTTTTCTTGTTCTAAAGCTTAAGTGCATCAGCGATCTTGGTGATTAAAAGTTGTCTTCAATGTTCTTAAGATAGCAAATATTCTTTACATCATCTGCACAGTTATAGCCTAGTTCTTACAAAACTCAACCTATGGTTACTCACCAATGCCAAAGTGTTTTGGCCTCTTCTCGAAGAGGGGGTTGACTTCTTTGGTGCCAGCTTCTTACCCTTAGGCTGTCAAAAATTGATCAAGTGTTAGGATGCATGAAAGATCAAAATACAAACTTCTTGACACAAGAAAGCCTTAACATTTTCCTCCACAAAGTATTCTTAATGTGTTATCTTACTATACCAAACTTATGAGACCCTTTTGAGGCAATTATTCTACTTTTAAGAGCAATACATTAAGCACGGATAACATCAAATGGATTATTGCACCTATCAAAATGTACAAGTATGCATGGGCTTTGGCATTTATCCTACTATGCCAGCCTTAAGAGAGGCTCTGTTTTAAGGCCCGAAAGGTTATCTCCACTCACCGGTCTGGCAGTCCAGAGCCTGCATGTGGATGTACCGAGGCCATTTCGCACAGCATGTCAAACGAAATATGGACTGAATATCCTGGCCTGTGGAAAAAGAAAATACGTTTTAATACCAAAATCAAACTGATAAAAAAAAAACCCACGTGTTTAAGTATTTAGTGCAGAGGAACTGTAGTCGATAAACCACACGACACAAGGTGCACATTCATTTAGCCTGTGTAAAGTTGAGTTACCAGGTTAAATACTGGCAGTTCATTGAGTGAAAAAGCTGTTTCTAAAATCAAGTTAGTTTACAAATGTTAGCTTTAGCTTCTGATAGAGTCACGGTGTTACTCGTGAAGGAAAAACTAGCTTAAACTTAACCACGTTTAACCCAAAATAACCCAATAGCTACAATATTAACCGGTAAAACTTCACTTAAGTCATAGATACATTTTAAACTAATAAATAATCACATATTCAAGGATGAACACAGATTACAAATCACAGATGAACCGTCAGTTTGAACTCACCTCAAGCTTTTCCTATTTTTTTCGCTTGAGTCAGCTTTATACCCACTTCTTCTTCTACTTTTTAATTAGGGCAGACTAGACACAGTTTAGTCCATTGCTGCCTCCTATCGGTGTACACACGTCATTGCGATAGACGTGTTACTAATTACAGTGGAGGAAATAAGTATTTGCTCCCCTGCGGATTTTGTAAGTTTGCCCACTTACAAATAAATTAACAGTCTGTAATTGTAATGGTAGGTTTATTTAAACAGTGAGAGTAAGAATATCAAAAAGAAAATCCAGAAATTGACATTATATAAAAGATAAAAATAGATTTGCATTTAACTGTGGGAAATAAGTATTTGATCCCCTTGCAACCAACAATAATTCTGGCTCCCACAGACGGTAACATAAGTCCTCTTCTTTTAACCTGTTAAGCCCCGAGCCTGTTTTTCAGGTTTCAGGCTCATGACATGCCCAAAACAAATGACTACAACTTCACTTCTAAAAGGGTTATATGAATAATTTCTTTTATCAAAGCAAGGTTACATCTGTGAGTTGGATGTAGAAGTGTCAGAATCAATATAGATTTTTCTCAGTCAGAGTAAATTCAGATGGAACATAGTAAAAAAAGGTAAATTCTTACCTCCGCCTACAAAAAACCCATTACTTATAGTGAAAACCACCCTTGGATGATGGGTTAGTAGACTAAAAGCTTTAGGAATCCAAACTATAACATAATAATAAGTACCCTGTATCAAGATTGAGGCAAAACAAGTTAAATTTGACCTTTTTAGAGAGATTTAGCAAAAAAAAGTTCCAGGCGGAATAGGCTTTCGGCACATTTGGGTCTATCTGGTTCCATCAGTGCCATTTGACCTTTTTCAGGTACCAGACTATAAAAATGATGTATTACATTGAATTATCACCATAGGTATTCATTCCATTCAAAGAAAAAAAATTAAAATTAAAAAAATTAATAAAACATTATAAAAAAAAAAAAAAAAAAAAAAAAAAAAAAAAGTACTCCTAATATCAACTTGTTACCTGTATAAAAGACAACTGTCCACAGAATCAATCAATCAGATTCCAATCTCTCCACCACGGGCAAGACTAAAGAGCTGTCTAAGGACCTCAAGGATAAGATTGTAGAACTGCACAAGGCTGGGATTGGATACAAGACCACCAGAAAGCAGCTTGGTGAGAAGGAGACAACTGTTTGTGCGATTATTCAGAAGAATAATGTGTGTGTTTCTAAATGGAAGTAACAGAAAATGAGCATCAATCACCCTCGGTCTGGGGCTCCACACAAGATCTCGCCCCGTGGGGTATTGATGATCATGACAAAGGTGAGGGATCAGCCAAGAACTACACGGGAGGAACTTGTTAATGATCTCAAGGCAGCTGGGACCACAGTCACCTAGAAAACTATTGGTTTTACACACTACACCATAATGGATCAAATCCTGCAGCGCCTGAAGGCCCCCCTGCTCAAGAAGAACATGAAAGGCCCGTCTGAAGTTTGTAAACGAACATCTGAATGACTCAGAGAAGGCTTAGGAGAAGATGATGTGGTCAGATGAGACCAAAATTGCGATCTTTGGCATCAACTCGACACGCCGTGTTTGGAGGAAGAGAGACGCTGACTATAACCCCAGAACACCATCCCCACCGTCAAGCATGGAGGTGGAAACATTATGCTTTGGGGGTGTTTCTCTGCTAAGGGGACAGGAGGACTTCCCTGCATCGAGGAGAGGATGTATGGGGCCATGTACCGTAAAATCTTGGCCGATAGCCTCCTTCCCTCAGCCAGGACACTGAAAATGGGTCCTGGTCTTCCAGCAGGACAATGACCCTGAACATACGGCCAAGGCAACACAGGAGAGGCTAAAGAAGAAGCACATTTAGGTGAGGGAGTGGCCCAGCCAGTCTCCGGACCTTAATCCCATAGAACATCTGTGGAGGGAGCTGAAGCTTCCAGAGGCCAAGCATCAGCCTCAAAACCTGAAGGATTTGGAGAGGATCTTCAGAGAGGAGTGGACCAACATCCTTCCTGAGATGTGCACAAACCTGGTGACCAACTACAAGAAGCGTCTGACCTCTGTGCGTCCAACAAGGGTTTCTCCACCAAGTACTAACACATGTTTTGCAAGGGGATCAAATACTTATTTCCCACAGTTAAATGCAAATCAATTTTTATCTTTTATATAATGTCAATTTCTGGATTTTCTCACCGTTTATATAAACCTACCATTAAAATGACAGACTGTTAATTTCTTTGTAAGTGGGAAAACTTACAAAATCTGCAGGGGATCAAATACTTATTTCCTCCACTGTACATGTACAGTCTATTGTACTATTCCCCCAGCTCTTGTTTTTTTTTTTATTTGTAGTTAACTTACGGAGGCTAATATACATTTTGTTTTCCAGTGAGTAATTTGTAGCATCAACAGCATTTTTGCCAGTGAATTTAAGGGTTTAAAAATGGTACATTAATCATCTACTATTGCAATACAAACATGCTTCAAGCTGGAAAGTCTGAGTTTGTACATTCAGTACGAGTCAGAAGTTTGGACACACCTTCTCATTCAATGGTTTGTTTATTTTAATTTGTTTCTACTTTTAATACTGAAGACATCAAAACTATGAAACAACACATATGTAATTATCTGGTAAATAAAAAGTGTTAAGAAATCCAGAATATAATTTTTATTTTAGATTCTTCAAAGTATCCCCCTTTTGCCTTGATGACAGCTTTGCACACTCTTGGCTTCTCTCAGTCAGCTTCATGAGGTCGTCACCTGGAATGGTTTTCAATGAACACGTGTGCCTTGTCAAGAGGCAATTTGTGGAATGACTTGCCCTCTTAAGGTGTTGAGGCCATCAGTTGTGTTGTGCAGAGGTAGGGTTAGTGCTCAGTGGAAAGCCCTATTTGACTACTGTTTTAATCCATAATGGCAAGAACCACTCAACTCAGTAAAGAGAAAAGACCGTCCATCATCACGTTAAGAAATGAAGGCCAGTCGATCCGGAACATTTCAAGAACTTTAAATGTATCCTCAAGTGCAGTCGCAATAACCATCGAACGCTATGATGAAACTGCCAAATTTGAGATTTTTGGTTCCAAGTTCCAACCGCCGTGTCAATTGTGAGAAGCAGAGAAGGTGATCGGATTGTTTCTGCATGTGTGGCTCCCACCGTGAAGCATGGAGGAGGAAGTGTGATGGTGGGGGAGCTTTGCTGGTGATTTATTCTAAATTCAAGGCACATGCAAGTGCTGCGTCGGATGACCTGGCCTTACTTTACAATCACCGACCTCAACCCAATTGAGATGGTTTTAGATCAGTTGGACCGCACGCAGTGAAGGAAAAGCAGCCAACAAGTGCTCAGCTCCTCTGGGAAGTCCGTCCAGACTGTTGGAAAACCATTCCAGGTGACGACCTCATGAAGCCAAGAGTGTGCAAAGCTGTCAAGGCAAAAGGGGGCTAATTTAAAGAATCTAAAATATAAATCATATTCTGGATTGTTTTGTTTACTAGATAGTTCCATGTGTTCTTTTATAGTTTTGATGTCGAGTATTAATATACAATGTAGAAAATTCCATTTTGATTATGGCAAAGTGAACATATTTTTATAGTTATCCTTTTCAGAACTTTGCTTTTAATAGGCATACATTTATAAGCACCATAACACTAAAGCAAATTATTTGTATGTTGAATGCACCTAGCAATTAACCCGATTGATGACACTGGGCTCCTTTCAACTATATAGTATTCATAAAAGAAAATGTAAATCACATATACACCATATAAATCTTAATATAAAGTGTCTAGTACTGCATGTATTGATTGTACACAAGTGAATTACTCAATACCATTTAATCATGGCAGCATAAATTCAATGAAGTTTTTTAGCATTTGATTCATCTATTCTACATATCTTTAAATATGGTTACATAAAACCAGCCATGTTAGAAATTCCTCGTATGTGTGTCAAGAAAGTTGGAAACTTTTAGGATTTTGAAGAGGCACATTTGTATGCATCCTGTCCTAAAATTAAAAATCCGTAACATTGTTTGAAGTTTCATCTTCCCCTTTAAATACATTTTTAAAACCAATGAATCAAGTCATGACTGCCTTTGCAGCTTTATAAAAATCATCATGTGTCCCAATTTTTATCTTTTCATGCCTTACTGAGGGAAAATAAATGCTGTAAGGATCTTATTGGTGAGCCAACAGAACCAACTCATCACTGCAGTAAATGAATCTACAGATGCATTTTGATTCCAAAGTACTGTATATTTAGTAACAACAACAAAAGACAGTCTTTTAGGACATACATTTTTTATTCCAAATAGTTTAACCAAGCTTGGTGGCCAGTTCCTTGGCCTTTGCCTTCTCCAGCTTGGCAATGCGGGCTGTGGATTTGGGGCCCATGATACCACCTCCCCAGTGACGACGGATCTGGAAAACAAGTTAGAATAAGGATTAAAACGGTGCACATTGCTCTTTATACTCAAGTACAATTTGACTCATGGATAGACTTTTAAAAGTTTACTAAATGGAATTCTTACCTCCTCATATCTGTCATTGTAGTTGGTCTTGATGGCTTCCACAAGCTTGGCAAGTGCACCTTTATCCTCACTGGAAGAGAACAAAGTCAGTTAATACGGAGCTGAAACGGAGCTAAAAAGAATGACAAATGTAATGATCATGTTGACTTAAATACGGTGCATTCATCTACATTATTATTTTATAAACATGTAAGAACTTAAAATTAGTCAACATTTGCAGTCAAGACTACTTTGGAAACAAACTGGTAGAGGACTGCAATAAAAAACTATGAACTACTCAAACAACAGCAAGGGATACATCCATGTAGAAATGATTAAGTAACGTTACTATAATGCAGCAACTTTAGTCAGCTGTGCGATTAAACTGGCAAATCTTATATTTTAAACACAACATGTGCACACTTACGGGTTTGTCTGTGTGATGGCGACTGAAGTGCAGGTCTTTCTGTGCACCAGTCTGCCCAGTCTAGCCTTGCCCTTCACGATACAGTACGGGACGCCCATCTTACGGCACAGAGCGGGAAGGAAGACGACGAGCTGGAAAAGCAGGGAGCAACAGGAACGTTTTAGGAACAAATGGAAAACTCTATGTTATGCTTGAGAATTCAAAAAAGTTGAAGTTGACAAACTGATGTCCACAACAAATGTCAACATGCATTCTTGCAGTTTGTGGTCTCTGCTCAGGGTTAAAAAGCTCAAGTTTGATCCACATAGAGGATTCAGGTGAAGAAATTCATTCATCATTGCTAGTGACCACTTTCTAGACTCAACTGTTAAAATAAAAATGCTTACCTCAATTGGATCCACATCGTGGGCAATGATGACGAGCTGGGCCTTCTTGCTCTCCACCAGAGAGGTGACAGTGTTCACACCTGTAGAGTAATAGGAACATTTAACTTTCCAACCAGAAAACACCCTTCATATCCCACCAGTTACATTCTTTTTTACTTTGGCCAATGCTCAGGGTTAAAAAGCTCAAAAGCATCAGGCAATCAGTTGAAGAAATTCGTGTCATCATTGCATCAAGGCCACATTTTAGAAGACCTCATAGGAAAGTCCAAACTAACTAATAATACTATAATTGATTGTGTCTTCATCTACACCTTTACTCTGTTACTCACCAGCACGGAGGACAGGGGGCCTCTTGGTCGGGGTGTCTCCCTTCCCAGCAGCCTTCAGCTCAGCGCGGGCCAGCAGCCTCTGCTTCTTCTCCTGCTTGGTCTCTGGCCTGTACTTGTGGGCCAGCTTGAACAGCTGTGTGGCTGAGGAGGAACATTAGAGAACATCAGCTACAGCCACACTTGGTTCAGCATTACAAGTGGATATAACTTAGAGTAACTGCATCAGTGATCTTGGTGGGAATGTCAGCACAGACGTTCAGATAGCAAATATTATTAACATCATCTGCAAAGCTACAAATTGTGTTAAGGACCAAGCAGCCATGTATTAGCTGAAACAGTTCTCAACTCACCGGTCTGACGGTCCAGAGCCTGGGTGAACTGGTTGATTGCAGGGGGAACCTTCAGACGCTTGTAGAGGATGGAGCGCTGCCTCTGCAGGCGGATGTAACGAGGCCATTTCACAAAGCGGGTCAAATCACGCTTGGGCTGGATGTCCTGGCCTGTGGGAAAAAATGCAATATTGATCAGTATCTGGAATTAAGAGAAGGACTTTTTCCTCATTCTAAAGCTTAAGTGCATCAGCGATCTTGGTGATTAAAATTGTCTTCAATGTTCTTAAGATAGCAAATATTCTTTACATCATCTGCACAGTAGTACCTTAGTTCTTACAAAACTCAACCTATGGTTACTCACCAATGCCAAAGTTCTTTGGCCTCTTCTCGAAGAGGGGGTTGACTACCTTTTTGGCCTCATGTTTCCTGGCCACTGAAGGGGCAGGTGCCACCTTCTTCCCCTTAGGCTTCTTTCCCTTAGGCTGTCAAAAAGAAAGCAAGTGTTAGGATGCATTGAAGTACAACATACAAACACACTACACAATTAAAGCCTCAAGATTTGCGTGCATTATCCTACTAAGACAGTCGTTAGACTCTTTAGGCATTGTTCAGCTTTAAATAGAGCAATAACTTCAGCTCTGATTAACATAACATGGCTTTAGCATCAATTGCTAAGCATGCAGGTTATCCTCCTTACAACTATTTTCTCCACTATACAGTTTAAGTCAAATCTGAAGACCAGCAAGTTGTCAATGTTAAGTCTACATGTAGGAGTTAGTCTCCAAAACAGTGCCCTGAATGCAGTTCGTAAAATCTCCATGTTGACTGGTCTACAGTCAGCATGCCATACAGTTACAGTGGATGCTATTAGCTTAGCCGCCACCACTGAAGAGCTATACTTTAAACAACCAAGACACTCAAAATACACAAAGACAATCTCACATTGCATCACTAACAAGCCACCAAAGTCACTAAAACGTGGACTAGAGTTGACCCATGACTATTAACTGTAACGTTACCATTCAAGCAAACAGAAGCACTGCTCAGGCCCTTAAGCTATCTCAAAACTACCGGGTATATCACCAGGATACAAGTTACACGTCCCAGTGCACTTACTTTAGTCACAATATTAATTAAAGTCAGCAAGGGTAGTACTACTAGCTCAAACGTGTTTGGAAAATGCTTAATAACAGCAAAACTGCTCCTGAAAACAAGCGTGCTAACCAGAGTTAGCTTCTGTCGCGGTGATATTCGTACCGACTAGACTAGCTTCCACTTAACCAAGTTTTACCCGAAAACAACACAACATCGACGGACAATTCTTGCATTAAACTAACGGACATACTTCATATAAGCCATTGTAACATTATACGATGTTGAAATGTGCATACATTAAAGGATGCAAACAGATAGAACAGCAACAGAAGAAATAGCTATCCACTCACCATGTTGGTTCAGACAGAAAGGAAGACCTAAGGATTCTGGGTAGCCTAAATACCGCGAGGTTTGCGCCGTGATTACGTGGCCTCTTTACGCACCGATCTGGAGTCAGATGTGACAGATGCCTACCCGCTTCTGCTTTGATGTTTTAAAATATAAATTTCTGACTCAGGATCAGTGTTACAATTAACAGTGTTAATGCGTTTTTACTGTCATACTTTTGTTATTTAATAATTTCAATATTATCGGAAATGGCATACATACGACATATTACTGATATCGATCGACGATCATAATAAAATAATGACAACGGGGAACATAAATACAAAGAAACAGAATAAATCGTTCAGTAATAAGAATACATCAAAAATAAGTGATACATGTATTGTCATGATAGTCTTCCTATATTTGGACGGGACGAAAAATACCATATATTGGGTGGTTTTCTATGTATTAAATAAGTATTTGCTGTGTTCATCCGTGGGCTCGGGGGGGGGCATTTAATCGACGTACAATATTGCGTCACTTCCGTAAACAGGTATTTTTTTTAAACGTTAATCAATACAAACGTTCAATTTAGCAAAAACATAATAAATAAACGTCTTTTCGTATATCTAATAATGAATTGTATTAAATTACATTAAACAAATATGCCTTCATTGTAAAGACACTGGATGGGCTGGATTTGTCACACTGACGTCGCTCCGTGTCGCTCCTCCTCCTCCAGACCTGCGTCGTTCCGCTCCGTGCCGTGCCGTGCGGAGGATTGGAGGAGGGGGCGAGTTGTTTGGGGTTGGTGGGCCGGGGGTATCGCGTCCGTCTCTCGGCTCGGCTTCTCCAATATCTTGCTAGCATACTATAGCCTGCCCCGCAACCACTATGGATTGTTAACGAGAAAAATGGATGATCATCGTGTCAGCTGCTTCTGTTGGTAAATACGACTCATTCATAAAATGTGCTGCTGTCATCGCTGCAGTGAGGAGATGATTTCTGAGCTCTCGTTTGTTAAACATAAGGCCTTTCAGATGTTACATTATGTGGGGGTTTATTGTGAAAAGATGGGCTAAAAAAACAATATGTATCCAACTATTCCTCCAGTTATCAGTCATAGAAGAGGTGCATGTGATTGATGCACATATCCTGCTATTGTGTTTAGATTATTGTATAAAGCTAGCTTTAGCTACAACAGCTTTTCATCTGTATCACTACAGTTTTATTATTACTGCCCTGTCAAATTAGCAAGACGTTCCCCTGAAGAGTAGCTATGGCTGAACCAGAAATGTGTCCACACCTGGACTCCATAGGAGAGGTGACCAAGGAGGACCTCCTCGAGAAATCCAAGGTGGGTTTTTATTCATTCACTGGGAAATAAAAGATGCCATGTTCAGGTCATTGGCTGTTTTCCATGGCCTACACATCCCACAAGGTTGTTGTAGCAGCCTTATTCCACTCCAATAAAAAAAGCATGAGCTGGAATATATGCTCTGTTATGTTGTAGTTTTACCACACATTTACCTGAAAGCTTTTGGATACTTAAAAAATAGAGAATTTTGTTCGCTAAACATCAAAATAGCTTATAAAAAACGGTATGTTTGGTTAAACACCCATTGACTAGAAATTATTTGGCAAGTACTTTGTTTATATTTATGGTTTCAGATTCACACATCTGGTTGGTCTTTCTATTAGTTGTTTACATCTAGTTTAAATATTTCTGAGATTAGTATAGTTTGGATTGTTATGCATTGCATCTGAGTACTTTTACTTTTATAAGTACACACTTTTACTTAAACACAGAACTTTTACGTGTGACAGTGTACTATCAAAGTGTTAAGTATTTTTAAATTATCTGAATACTTCCTCCACTACTGCTGTTAATAAGGTATCTATGGAAGCATCCTTGATGTGTCAAAGTGACCCAACATGTTTTGCAATATTTTAATCTGTTCCTTTCTATTTTAATAAATCTGCAGGGAACATGCCAGTCCTGTGGAGCAGGGGGCCCAAACCTGTGGGCCTGTCTGCAGGTACAAAAAACGTTATACCATGTTTAAATCTTTGTTTTTTGAAGGGTAATAATCAGTGAAGCTTTTGCAACTTGTCCCATAAATTATGACCACTGTAAGTGCTAGTACTGCTGCATTTTAAATAAGAAGGCTAGGTGAATGTTTTTTGTTTTTTTTCAACCTAAATAATAAAATAACAATAACATTTGGTCAACACAGTACAATGGTGAAGGTGCAAGTGGTAAGCAATATGAAAACAATACAAATCAAGTGAGGACAAACCATGGGACAAACACTACAAAACAACAGGGGAACAAAGACAATGACTAAACACATACATTGAATTAATATTACAATGCAAATACATGTTTAATGGTCATAACAACATAACATTATAAAACATTAAGTAATAGTTAATGTTGCTAAAATAAGTGATCAATCATTCAGGGCTCTTTGAGAAGAAGAATGGGTCTGACATTCTGCAAACATTCTGTCAGGGATCCATTTATTATGCAAGGCAGGGCAAGTGTATTTATAAAGCACATTTCAGTGACAAGGCATTTGATAGTGCTCTACATAAAACATCAAAGCATCAAGACAGTGCAGGACTGCAAAACCCAACACAATACGAGTAAAACAAATTAAACAAAACCAACGGATGTAATATAAAAGAGTTTGTTTAGATGTATAAAACAAATAATGATTTGACTGAACAGAAAGTAAGTGGCAAACAGAAAAGTCTTCAGCCTTGATTTTAAATAGCTGCAGCAGACCTGAAGTTTTGTGAAACAATTAAACAATTACCTTATGCACAGAGTATGCAAAAGGAGTTATTGGAAATGTCAGTAAGCAA